CACACACACACACACACACACACACACGTAAAATGTGCTGACACTGCTTACCTTGAGGTTGTGTCTATATGCTGCATCCAGTACAGCTGGTACCAAATCCTCAGCAGGTTCCCCGTTGTCATCAGCTACTCCAGGAGGATACCAGGACAGGACCAGAACACCTGGAGGGAGATAAGCACTTGATCAAAGATACGAATTAACACCTCAGAGCACCATCACCTTCTGATGGGAACATACAAACACAATGTATATGAAGCTCTAACAATATTATTGTATGGATTGCTGAAATGATGCATCGATTTCAAGCTAACTGTGTTTATGTGCAGTTATTGTTGTCTTGGAGTAATGTTGCTTTCTCTGCGATCATCCTTTAGTGTCTCTTTGTGGTTCACAGCAATACAGTACATCTGCTGATCTATGGAGGACAGTCAATTTTTTAAATGAATATGTACTTGTCATCTTAGGACTATTTATTATGCCTTGTTTTAGTGGCAACAGTTTGAGTGTGTGACAGCTCATAAATTCATAAACTCACGCTGGCTGAAAAATGGTTTTCTATCAGCCACAGCGGTGCCTGGCAAGAGGTAGGAACTGGCACACTGTATATGCACTCACAACTAATTTATTAAACTCATGTCCACTTGCTGTGGAGCTGTGGAGACTATTAGATTACAATAGCCAAACATGTCTTTGTGTATCAAGAGGACGGCTACTGCTATTCATTTCAGTGGCAGGAAATCAGTCACCAAGTCAAGCAGATCTATTTACAGTTGAGTATGAGGTCTCTCATTAAATGGAAGGTTTTAATTAAGCAACTTTGAGCTGGACCTCCCATGATTCCCAGGTTTCAGGGTTAGATGACCTTCTCATCACTCAAGCCGGTGTACAGTAACCTACTGCACCGCAGGACAGACACATCAGGGCCTATCATGTGTTGGCTGCTGATGGCTGACACACTGCGCTGTTACTTGACACCAGGGAACAAACTTGTACTGAATTTAAGGGAGCCATACAAGTCTTTGATGAGACTGCAACACAACTATTATCAGTTCATGACATTTAAAAGAGATAAAGGTACTTGCAGAGATACTTTGGGGCTTGGTGATGCTTTAATACTAAAGTAGTATAAGGTTCAGTTTTAATATAGATAGCTAAACATCTTTAAAAACATTAGTTTGCTTCTGATGTACACCTCAATGAAGGATGAAAGCGCAGCAGCAGATATATGGAAACCAAGCATGTGGGGAGCTGTCCAGTATATGTGTGGTGCTGAAAAATGTGTCGAGCCCCTTCAGCAAAAGGGAGGCAGCTTTGTGCTTACAGAAGCCACATTTCTGTAAAGCTGCTGTGCACAAATAACAACACTCAGCTCTTTTTTGTGCGTCTCTCTAAGAATTTCAGGGTGCCGGTTTGCATTTTTTACAGTACCTGCTGCGGATGCTCCGATCTGCTCCATGTGGGACTCCAACACATCCGGATCCCGCGAGCTGTACGAATTGAGTTCGGGGTAGAAACTGGAGCCGATATCCTCGGGCGGCATGTGTTTCCCTCTCGGGTAGCTGGATGCGATCTTAGGGTCCCAGTGCGGGACTAGGATGTGATCCCAGTGAATGTATTTACCGTCCATATGTGGGTTGCCGTACCACATATAGTAGAAAATATGAACATCATAAAATATGGTCCCCTCGGGGCCGGTGTTAGACAACACGGCTTTGGCGTTGCTGCCAGGCGGACGGGCTTGACCCGGGGAAGCGGTCCCATCACGGGACACTGAGCGCCGGTCCATCTTTCCTCCGATCATCGGCAGGAGCTCCAAGCCCGGAGCCAAGTCCGAGAAACCGTCACTGGGCTTCAGGGTCCTCAGTCCCATCATGGTCCCAAAGATGAACAGCGTGAAAAGAAACAGAGCTATGCACGCTTTCCTCCTCAGTCGTGCCATGGTTGGCTAGAGTGGCAGGAGCTGCATACGGCACGGACGGAACCAAGAGCGCAAATTAAACCTGCGTCCTGCTTCTGCGGCCAGATGGAGTTCACCACAAACTACGAGCTACTCTCCGAAGTGTTTCTCGTCGCATCGGCTAAAGGACGAGTCTACATGATTGCACTCAAACCAGAGAGGACTACCCTACGTAGTTGATTAAGGAATTTTTAACTTTCTTCTGTTCCGCATTTCGATGAGCTGCGGATTTATTTATTTTTTATCACTGCAACGCGGATCTATACCTCTAAGATAAGCCCGAGCTACAATTTTTTTGTTTTAAATGCCACAGGCCAGTTATTCCTAACTTAAGACTCTCCTCTCATATTTCTTTTCCACGCTGTCACTCACTAAGACGCTTCACCGCTCCCGTGGACCGCCCCCGCCCATCAGCTGCTCCATCCACCTGACTTCCGACAAAAAACGGTGTCTAAACGCAGGGGTGATGCTCTCTGTTGGTCATGCCCGGAGAAGCTTTAAAGCCTCCGTGCTTGGTTGGCTGGTGTTTCCTTATGGATGCCAAAGAGGCGGGACCCTTCTCGTGCACCGTTTCTAAAGTTTACTCAAAAAGAAAAGACTAAAAAGCAACATGGTTATACCCGTTATATAGCCTACTGTTCTTATCAACAGGTCTGAGGCCACAAGACTATGACTCATCTCTTAAAGGTGACATTAACTACTATTTTCTCATAAAGTTGTTTTCACAGTTAAACCTAAGATAGGCTATTAGATTTTTATTTATTTTAGTCGGCACTTTGTACTGAGACTTATACTGACATCTAGCGGTCATTTTATAGAACACATACCACTTTGTGTTGTGCTAAAAAGTGATTTCTTATGTTTGTTTGTTGTTGTTGTTATATCGAATACCTTTATTTATATTGACAAATAGACTGTCGTAAATAGGATTTATGAAGGACTGATCTCTCAAGAAAAAGACATCTGTAATTCCAGTGAGATTAGTCTTTCACTCTTTCTTTATTTTCTTTTTACAGGATAAATAAAGGATAAAACAGTCAAAAAGATTCATGGCTTTTACCTTGTGATAGGAATGTTCTTCCTACCTCAAAAAGACTTGCTATCATTCACGAGAGATATGTTGGACTTTCTTTTTTTTTGGACAAATTATAGACTAACACGTTGTTAATAACAGTTTGAATTCCCGCAGTCATTTTCTGGCAAATACCGGAAATCCGTTTTTGGCAGACGAGAAATAGCAAAAAAGTATGTTTTGATGTGCTTGTAAAAGACGGATAGGGAACTCATTAAATAAATGTGGCTTGTTTTCCATTTTTTTAAATTAATAATGTAAGTAGTAGTAATAACAGTATTAGCTGTTGTTGTTGTGTAGAGCTTCTTTTTTTTTGGGGGGGGGGGGGTGTAAATAAACCTTGTCGCAAATATAATAAAGCGCCTCCTGTCGTCAGAACAAGGTATCTTTGCGCTCTGTTAGGCTTTTGGCATTCAGCTATATTGCCCAAAAGCAGTGTCTTTCGGTCATGCTATTAGGTAGCACTTACGGCTCTCTCACCCCACTATTGGAAGTTCTGACGTCCTGACACTTTATCAGATTGTTTTCTTTGCACAAGAACTCCAACATGAAGTGGCAATAAAAATATTCACGGCCTCTGTGATCATTAGCCAAACCTCTATAAAGATAAATGTAGTCAGTTAGTAAATTATGCAAAAACATACAACTCGTGCCTTCGACTTATACCACTAAAAACACATTTTTCAAACGAAATTACAAAACTAAAAGTAAAAACTAAAATAGATACTAAAATACTGTTGATTTAAAAAAAAAAGAAAATAAACATAACCACTGATTAATAATTTTCTTCTCTTTCTTTCTTTGAGCATGAAGTGCAGCTTCCATATTAAATTAAAATATATTATCCTGGGGCCACAAACACGCGTTTTGTGGGTCCACAAGAGGTCGTTGTGGTAATTGTGATAAACTGGGAGCCACAGCCTCCTCTCAGTCATCAATCACATATTTCCATTTCAACAAATAAGTAAGTAAAATACAACAGAAAACGGGTATATTCAATATTATTTAGTATTACCAATTTAGGCCAAATCAGTGACAGTAATAAATCGTTTTTATTTAGCAAACACACAAATAAATTAGCAAATGCAAAACCGTATCTTTTATATTTGTTGGTGTAGCATAAAGCAAACGAATTACAATTTCAAATACATCCATGTGTCCGTGTTTTATAGACAACAGTATAATACATGTAAACGAACTATGCGTATTTTTCCCTTTTCTGCAATCTTATCTGTCATTTCCAAAACCTTTGTAAATGTAACAAAACATAAACATCACCAGTAATACGTTAATAGCACCTTTTCAATCTTTTTTTATTTTTAATTTTTTTTAATTTTTATTTTTTTAATTTAGGCTGAGATAAATTTGCTTATCCCCCCACTGTCTTTAAAGCATCACTCATTTCACAAGGACGCAATTCAACAACACACTTAACGTGATGTGATCGATCACTATTGAGCCATGATTTCGTTTTATTTTCGTGAGGTCGCCTTCTTTTTTTCTTTCTTTTTTGCATAAACTGCTTTGCATGCTTTTGTTAAATCCGAGTTGTTGTTCTCTCTCTCTCCCGTTTTCTTCTTCACGCCTTCACCTTGCTTGTTTGACTCCTTTGAGCTCTTCCTCCTCTGCTGCATGTGGAAAAAAACCGTCCCCCACTCACAATTTCATCTGGATTACCATTAAACCCTCCTAGGAGAGCAGTTACAGGAATCTCTGATTATAAGGAAACCAACACACGTGAGAAGTAATATGACATAGATATAAAATGTAGATATTCAAATCCATTATTATTATTTTTTAAAAGAACATCTCAAACTAATTGCTTCAAGTAGAGTGTTATACACCATTTACTTCTGGCCTTTTCATCTACTACATGCAGCTTCACCTCACTATTTATATTTAAATGAAATGCTTAAAAGCTTCAAGTCTTACACGAAAATGTTTGTTCTAGTATCCGGTTTTATTTAAATAAAAGTTGCATTTTAGGCAGATAAATGCCTCACCTTGCCTATAAAATACATTACAGATAAATTTACAGTAAGTGTAAACTCACTACTAGAACAGATGCTTAGGTTGCAATATAAGGATGTTACACTGGTTACAGAAGTAGTGGTCAATCACAACAACAAAGGTGGTATAAGAATATTATGCGTATTATAGTGATTGGCCACTTCCCATGTTTGGGCTCGTCCATCACGCAATATGCGGTGTATCCCTGGGGACTGTAATTGTGAATCACGTGGACGTGACCGAGTGTTTGGGGGGTTTTGTTGGGTGGGAAATGGTCATTTGTATTGACCAACAGAGCTGGCCACTGCAGGAGCGCTAAAAGGCGTCCAAAGAAAGGGGAGAGACGGCAGCAGTGGACACTGAGATTAAACCATAGCTCCCGAACATGGCAGAAGGTATGCTGGCAGGTTTTAGGGAGTTATCTCTGGGAACGGTTAGAGCGCTTTCTGGTGGGGCAGGAATTCGATGTATTGTCTAAGATGTTTTTTTTGTTTAGCGAACGGGGGGGGGGTCGGGGTCTTCACAGAAAAAGAAATTTCTCCCGGTGACCCCCCACCCCTCATTGTTTAAGGGGGATAGGTTGCCAGCCCCCTTTTGTTTACCTCCCTCTCACGCTTTCCCTCTCGCTGCGCAGCTTCTGCGTTTCACAGCATTTTGCATGAAAGTGGCAATCTGCGAGGATTACCCAGTTTGAGGGCTTGTACACTGGATACTGTAGCTTGGGTGCTGATTTTGACTCAAGGCAGAACTGAAGACATGGGTTCCGTTTCTAAGAAGCAGCTCCGAGGTTGGGTAACTTGAGCTACATTTTGAGAAGTTTTTGCAAGTTAATTGAGTCGTTGTACCTGCGGACTGTGTGCTCGATTGCAGCCGAACGTTTTAACGCATTGTTCACACACTTGAACGTTAAAATGTGCACTCCGTGTGTCTATCAGTGCTTTGCATTGTCTTTAAAATTTTGTGCATCTTACGGGAAGGGAGAATATTTTTGTTTCCTTTTTGCGCTAATGCACCAGTTCGTTGTGCATTCGCTGAAAAAAGTCGCATGTTTATTCCCCTTAAAAAGTTGGCTATAATTTATTTCAAATTTTGCGAGAAATACAGCCTAATCTTGTTCATTGTATTGATTCGTATTGATTATTGATTGGGTAGCCTAGCCTAAAGGAAATTTTGTATTTCCGTTTTTTAAAACCTTTCAATTTAAAAAAAAAAACCTTTTGCGTTTTTAAGCATCGTCACCTTCGCAGGTTTAAAGCTTTTCTGTAGTAATTGCTAAATTGTTTCATCGTAGGAGTGTGCAAAACCGAGGAGGATGAAGGACCGAGTCCCGAGGAGAATTCAGAGTCTTTCCACGGGGTCGGTGTGTGTAAATGGTTCAACGTCCGCATGGGTTTCGGGTTCCTGTCCATGACCAGCCGGGAGGGAGAGCCGCTGGACGAGCCGGTGGATGTGTTCGTCCATCAGGTATGATCTGCTTTTGCTCCGACGTGGTGTTTGTTTATTATGTGAAACGCAGCACTGGTGGTGGCGGTGTGTGGACCAGCTCCTTTGCATCCCAATAAAGATATCTAAAATGTAAAGGTAAAAATATGTTTTCCATCTAAGCAAGTAAAATCTCTCCACACCAGGAGATCAGAGATCTTATCTTCTTCCAGTCTTCAGTTTCTGTGCTTTTAGACCTAGTCCCAGCAGCAAAGGATTGTGGGCACAAGTTAAAACATTACAACAAACAAAAACTTAAAGAAAGCGAGGTTAATCAGAAATCCAGTCCTTCAACAGGGAGGGCACTGAAAGACATTTAAAGATAAAAATTGCTACAACGCCGGAAACGTCTAACTGTTAAATTGATGCTTTTGCTGCGCGGTGGGTGTTTCTCCTTTAGGGGAACACGTGTTGCAGCCAGAGGGGAGCAGCGGGCCTCCCTCGTGGTTTTCAGGACGCTGACACAATGTGATGGAGAGATGAATGTGCGGTTTTTGTTGTTCATTGAAGCCAGCGCACTTTTAACAGGCTTACATCCATAAGCCTCCTGAGCTGCATGAAAACTGAGCCATTAAGGAGGAGGAAACGTTTAATTGATCTCCATCTGGAGACGTGAACAATCAGTGTGCATTGTTTTTGTGTGTGGGTGTTTGTTTAGATTTTTTTAACCATTTATTTTCCACCTGCGAACAGAATTCTTTAACACATCATTTGAGCAACCTATTGGGGTGGTATCTAAAAAGGGTTACTGATCCTGATCACTGCTTTTCAAATTAAACACATTTTAAACAGTCAAACTTGAGGTGGCTAAATACAACA